TAGTTAATCACTCATCATATGTAACGTAATAATATCTTGTTTCTTTCTTTTACCGTTTTTCTACAACATAAATCCCCAAAAAGAATCTGAATACAAATTTAAACCTTGGTGATTAGTGATTTAAGGTGGAACATTCCATTATGTTTTCATCTTTGCCTGTAATAAGTACATTACCCACTATTTTTTTTATTGAAAACACCAGTTTTTTTTTTTAGGAAAAGCGAGAGAGGATTATGATGAGGTTAATCTATTTAATTTAAAATTACAATAAGGTTAATCTATTTAAATTAAAAATTATAAAAAAATTACTATTATTGGTAGTGATGTATAGTCAAATTAAAATTAGGGGTGGGGGTTTATCAGTTGGTAATTTAATATATTATGCCGTTAATAAAACTAAAAAAATGTTGAAAGAAATTTCTAACTTAGATTTTTTTTTTAAAAAGCAAAAAATAAATAAAAAATGTAAGGGTTCAATTCGTTTGGCATCGCTATGGTTTTTTGTTTTTTGGTTTTTTGTTTTTTTAAAGTATATTATATATGTAACATAATGAATCAAAAATTATTTAGACTTATTAAAATCATAATAATTTTGAAAACTTGCAACAAAAAATTAACTGGAAACACCTTTTTCTTGTTTCTTGTTTTTGGTTTTTAGTTTTCTAAAAAACAGGAAACTGAAAACCAAAAATGATGCCAAACAATACCTAAGTTGTAAGTTAGACCATTATAATCAGAATTTCGCTTTTAGATATCCTCAATTTCATTTTGGGCGTATGCAAAATTTGAATGTCATTAGTCAATTAGAACGATTGACATATATAAGACTTTATTAATTAAAATATAGATCACGTGCGATGCATACAATGTTTTTCATTTTGGGTATACCTAAGTTATATGTGAGCGTACCTAAAACGAAGTGGTTCAATTTTTTTTATTTATTTTACAAAATATAGAAGTATATGGTTATTTCGGATAATCACATCCATTTTTAGAACTCCTGGCTAGATTTATTGTTACTCTATTTAAATGAGGTCTCATCAGCATAATCACGGTTATTATTAAAGTAGAAAGCCTGAATTTAAAAGCTGAAATTAACTTCTCGGCCAAAACATTACCTGTTACATGACAATCCTTGTTTAGATTTAGATAGCATTTATCGTGAATTAATGGAGGGATATACGAAAACATATTGAGGGATTGAGTGGACGAAGTGGCAAAAAAAGAAGTTGAGTGAGTGTACTGTCATGGCATAGTGAGGGGGCATGCGTGGCGTAGTATTAATTGTATAGATTCAGACTTTAATTTCTACTTTAAAAAGAATTGTGATTAACTTATATTATGAGACCTTGTTTAGATAGAGTGACAATTAATCTAGTCAAGATTACTAAATATGAATGTGAATATACGAAATAATTGTATTAATATTAATTTATGTATTTTGTAAAAAAAGAAAAAAAAAAAAGAATTGAACCCCTCTGTTTTAGGTATGCCTAAATATAACTTAGGTATATCCAAAATTCCAAAAGTGACAACTTAATCTAGAAAGACTGACAATTAATCTAGTCAAGATTACTCCGTATGTGAATATCCCAAATAACCATATTAATATATATTTATGTATTTTGTACCAAAAAAATAAAATAAAATTGAACCACTTTGTTTTAGGTACGCCCAAATATAACTTAGGTATACCCAAAATGGGAGATAGTTTATACTCTGTGATCTATATATTAATCAAGTCTTATATTCCTCAAGCGTTCTGATTGCCTAAAGAATATCATTTTGGGTATGTCCAAAATTAAATTGGGGATATCTAAAAGCGAGTTTTATGTATACTTTGTGAGTTTGTTCTATGCAAAATAAATCCATTACAAAAACAAAGAACTAATCAATATTTCTATGATTCTTGTGTGTACGAATTTCAATAAATATCCTCGGAATAAAGACAAACTAATCTTTTTCTTATTATTTTAGGAGTGACTAGAAGTTATTTGGGATCGCCTAGTTACGGTTTTTGTTACGTACTACGTACATTCAAGTATATATTATTGCTTAAAAATTATATTTACTTGATGTCAAGTTGTTTTTTTAGAAACGAGTGTGATTAGATGAAGTAATGATTGCTATATAGTATATTTCTATGAATTTGGGGAAAATATAAAATATCATTTTAGATACTCCCAAATTTTACTTAGGGATATCTAAAAGAAAAATTTTAAGACAAGAAAAAAGATATTCATTTTGGATGCATCTAGGGATGGCAATGGGTCAGATGGAAGGGGTGCAAGAATATCAATGCGGCTCCCGTAAGTTTAGTTCAGTTCAGCTTATTATAGGCGTTAGACTAAGGGCTGTTCTTTTCAACTTATTTTTAGTTCAGTTTAGTTCAGTTCAGCTCCTGTAAGTTCAGTTCAGTTTCATATCTTAATTTCCTTCTCTCATAAAATATTCAGTTCAGCTCCAATAAGTTTAGTTCAGTTCAGCTCGGTCAATCAGAACAGGCCCTAATGGCATGTTCACATTTACTTAATTTCAGTTCATTTCAATTCAGTTCAGTTTAGCTCTAATCAGTTCAGTTCAGTTAAACTCCTAATTTCAGCTCAGTTCACTTCAGTTCAGCTCCAGTCAATTCGATCAGTTCAGCTCAGTTCAGTAAATGTGAACAAGGCCCTAAATCTTGCATATATTCCACTTTTATTGTATACAAAGTATATAACTAATAAAGTTTTATTTAGTTTTAACTAATAATAAAAAAAAATAATTTAGTTTTAACTTATAAAGATATATTCCACTTTATTGTAAATTCTAATCTTACATAAATAATTATTTAGTTCTGTCAAAAAAAAAATTATTTAGTTAGATTAAGATATTTATTTATTTAGTTATATACAATTAATCTTAAATAAAGATTTATTTAGTGTTAGACTAAGAACCGTATCAATGCAAATAAATATTCCACTAATTTTATTGTGGAGTATGTACAATCTAATACTCCCTCTGAAACAATTTACTCGCAACAATTACTATTTTTAACCATAATACATTACTCGCAACAAAGAAAATTATTTCCTATTATGGTAAGTTTTTAATGGTGAAATGACTATTTTACCCTTAGTTATTTCTGAATTTTTTTTTTAATCCCTAAACACTACTTATCTAACATTTAATCAAATACACTTAACCTAATCTAATCTAACCATTCCCACCAAAAATAACCCTCCCCTTTCTGATTTCATTAGAAATCATTCAACTCCCCAACTCCTCAACTACCAGAATTGAATGAAGATCAATCAATTCTCCTCGTTCATGGTGCCCAGACTCTCCTTATTCTGGAAAATTCTCCAGATGAACATTATAAACCCTAGATATATTCTATTTCCCTCATTTCTCTCTCATTTTCGTCCTCTGTTCTCTCTCTTGAGTGAAACCCTAGTTCTCTCTCTGTTGTCTCTGTTTAATTTCTGTGGGAATGAGTTCCAAAAAAGCGAAGAAAGAGTCCCAAATTCGTCCAAAAAAGGCTGAGGAATCCACTGTGTACATCGCTCGTAGAGGATCTGGAGTTATCAAACCAGTTCGTCGCTGTTCTTCTTCGTTTTCTCGTTACCCTGGAGGCAAAATTGGGGCGAAATTATATTTTTCAAGCGATGAGGAGGAAGTTCTGGAAGTACATCCGTTTCAGGCCGTCCCTGTTCCGCCGGAGGTGGTTACTGAAATAATTTAGTTGTTGGTGCTGAGAAAACGACGAAGGAAAGCCCCAAAAATGCTGTTCTTGACGCCGTGGTGACGCCGTGGTGACTAGGATCCCTGCTACATGGCGTATCTGAGGGACAAGTACCCTCATGACTTTCCCCCAGATCTCTGAGCATGCAACGTAACTATTACTAAACCCTAATTTTATGAATTTTGCCTAAATTTGAGTCCCTTTGACTAATTTTTGGTTGTGATATTCATTCCTTGTTTGATATTTTTGGGTAAAAATGTTGTTGTTTGGTTGTTGTGTACAAAATAAAAAATTGTGGCTGTTTTGAGCTTTATTTATGTTGGGTATGGTTGTTGATTGTAGTTTTTGAGTTGAATTTGTTGATTTCGTATTGGCATTGTTGGTGATTGTGGTTATAAATTGGGGGTGTTTGCTCGTGTGCTTATGTTGGTTGAAATTGTTGCTTTGGGTAAGGGAAATTTGTTGTTGTATTGTTATATTGGGCACTTGACTTGAATTCATTGGCTACATGTTGTTATGGTTATATTGTGAGCATGAATTGCTTGGCTTGTGTGGATTTTTGTTACTGCCTCTAAGTTGCTTGGCTTGTGTGGTTTTTTTTTTTTACAGTATGGCCTATGAATAGGCTGTTGTGGGTTGGTTATTGTTGATATGAGTCTGTGGGTTGGTTATTGTTGATATGAATAGCCTTTGGAATACTTTGGTTTGATGTGTGTTGATGTTGTTACCTATGAGTCCCCACAGTTTGAGTCACTCCCTGTCATTGGTATTTTGTGATGATGCATTGAGTCCCTTTACCCACATTGCATCATAGATATAGGTTTTCCATATGATGAAGGGACTCTTATGACTTGAGCCCATTACTTAAGGGAGCTCCAACATCTTCTAACAGAGGATGTTGTTGAGGTGCCTGTTAATGGTGGCTTATATGGTTAAACCAATCCCATCTGATGGAAAAAACAGACAATAACCAACCCATACTTTAAACACAGTGTTTACTTGTTAATGCTATGATTTCATTTGCCCAAAAAATTGTTGATTGTACAAAGTTCCATTTCAATAATAACTACCTACTAAGACTGCCTACCTACTCTATTTAACAAAATACGCCTAACCATTACAAAACAAACAAAAACTTAGTTTTCAAGTTAATGGTTATGTGTGGCAGTCTTTGGTCTTCTGACTTGGTTGCTGATGAGTCCTTCATTTACAAAAAATTACTTGTTGTCTTGTTCATTTACAAAAAGTTGCGTGTTCTTACTTTCTTGTGTGACCTTCAATCTACATCTACTTCCATATCTTCACTTTCTGGTTGAGGTCCTGTGGTTGGAACAAAGAGGGTGTTGAGATATTGCAATGTCTCTGCAATTAGTGTCCTGTCTACCTTCAAAATGTCCTCCAAAGTCCCTTGCCTGTCTTGCCTTGCTTTGCCAATATGTGGTGGATTGTAGTTGTTCCCTCCTTGTTTTTCCAATACCTTAATCATGCAAGCCTGTAGTGCGATCCAAGTGTACCTATTTAGTGTTGGATCAAACAACTCAAATGCCTCTGCAACTTTCTCAAGTAGCTCATCAATATTTTTTGGGAATGACTGGTATTGTATGGATTAAATTGCCTTGAACAAACCTAGGTCTAACACATTAAGGTCTGGTGATTGGGAAGGTTGGAAAACAAATTGAATGTTAAACCCATTAGCTTGTGTTGCTGCCAAAAACTCTTCATCTCTTGGTACTTGATGTGGCCTAGCATTATCCCATTGTATGATAACATTCTTTGATAATTGTGTTGGCCATTGTGCATGAATTATTGGGATGATTTTGTCTAAAATCATGTGCCTAATAGCTTCTTTGTTTACATTCTGAATCTCTTTAGTCTCCATTGTGCCTGCTTCTCTGTTTTTGCTTTTCTTTTTTGCCCTCTCATGTTTCACAAAAAGGAACAAACCATACTTCCCTGAGTGAATAAGAATCTCATCTGCAGCATAAAGTGGTTTTCCCACCATTCCCATGAACATTGCCTTTATCTTAAACCTTTTAGACTGTTGTGCTTTGTATGGGACTTCTTCATTTGGGGTTAGATAGAAAGTCCTTGTCTCTGGGTCTAGGTAGAACCACTTCTCTTCAATGTGTATGTGATGTTGCATATCCATAATTGTAGGGTCCCCCTCACTTGGAATTGGATGAATGTGTTGCAAAACCCACTTAAGCCTTGCAACTTTGTGATTTTCTGATAATGTTGGGTGATTACTTGCAGACACTACCCTAAGTCTGCCCCTTTTCTTCAACCTGTGTATCACCATATGATTGACATGTAGAGCAGCACCATAGCTTCTGTTTGTGGTTCTCTTGTAAAGTGGGACAGACATAAGCCACTCATCAGAGTATTCAAATGGCTTGCGACCAGTTTTCCCTAACTTTTTGGTTCTCACATCCACTACTTCTCCCAGTTGCATGTGTTGTTTAACTATTTTTAGCCACCTGCTTGTAGTAGATTTGTGTACATGATGTTTCTTTGCCAATGAGGTCAGCATTCCTCTTGGCAGTGTGTCTCCTACCATATTAAGCATAATATCATCAACAATCTGCCTTTTTTCTTCAATGTTTAATTCTCTGCTGCTCCTCACAAATAAGTGTTGCAGATTTTGTTGCTTTGTATCTGTTTCTGATTATGCTGATGAGATGTGTTCATGTTGTTGCTGCTGAGTTGCCTCTTCAGTTTCTGACCCAGAAGAACTGCAATTTTCTTCCATCACCAATTCCTGCTCCATGAGCAGTTGGTTTATGGTGAAAAAATCATCCAACATTTCTGCCATGAGTCCCTTATTTTTTTTTTCAGATTTGATGGTAGGTGATGAAGTGGAGTGACTTGCCTTTTTTTGGGAGCTTTCAGTGGAGCCTAATTCGTGTACAAATTCACTAATGTTGCTACTACTAACACAGCAATTAGGAATTAGGACTAATTTCAAATTATGGTTTTTGTAATTTTCCAAACAGTTGGTTGTATCCTCTAACTTCTTATTTTGAAGAATTCTAATTTCCCCCCCCCCCAATACCCTCCTGTGTTTGAATGAGGGTCTTGAATGAAACAGCTACTCCTTTTTTATAAGGAGCTTTTGGGTTGGTAAAATTGTTGCTTTTGCTGCCTGTCCAATTGTTTTTGAATTGCTTTTAAATTTTGTGAATTTTTTGGGGGGAAAATGAAATTTTTGGGAGGCAAAAAAAATTCCCTCCCAAAAACACCCCTCCCTTCACGTGAATAAGAGAAGGAAAGAGAGGGAAAATAACAAAGGGGCCACATGGCCTCCACTAAAAAGGGACCACCTTTTTTCCCTCCTTTTTTGGCACTACTAATCACATGCACTTTACTTTAATTTACTCCCTTAAAAACTTTTGCCTAGCAGTCCGTTCTCCCCTAGTTTGTTGCGAGTAAATTGTTACGGAGGGAGTATATCTTTATTTATGATTTAGTCATATACTCATACATCATATTATTTGGCTGACTTGTAGCCTAATAATTCTCTAGTAACTTGTACCTAATATTTGACGTTCAATGCAAAAAAAAATTTCTTAAACTCACGTTTAATGCAATAATCACGGAATGTATATATATTTTGTGATAATCTTTTGAGAAGAATATATTTGTGATATTTTAAGAATGATTGTTCAAAAAAGTATTTTAGTTATGGAAAAGATTTTTTTCCTTACATTAAAACTTATATTTTGATTTTATATTTATCTATTAAAACAATAATGCAAGTTTTTTTTTTTTTTTTTTTTTTTTTTGTGTATTCATCTTCAACCTAAAATCATGTCCATAGCTTCAACATCCAATAATGGCGGATGATTATTCACGAATTCATATGGCTGATCAAATTAAACATAAAATCATACCTATTCTAACAATTAATCACAAAATAATAAGATATAATCCGTAAAATTTCAAGAATGTAGATATTGAAATTGATTACAAACTCTGATTTTAAGAAAATTGAAGCATATATGTAATGATTATACGTTAATCTTAATGAAATCTTATATAATTTGATAATTTTTAGATGTGTTTTTGATGATTAATGAAAGTTGAAGGTTAAATTGGATGGTTCTTTAAAAAAAAAATTCATAATTTGAAAAGGAAAAAAACATTACCCTCTAAAAGTAAGAAAACAAACAACACTTTGCTGACGGGGCGCTGACTGGTCATGACTTAAATGAGGTGTAAATTAGATTTTATAATATTTTAAAACTGTAATATTCAAAGGCTAAGATTAAGCAACAACCATAATAAATGGTTTAGATTTAATGCCTTAACGTAGTCGTCCATAGTCGTTTGTAGTCGTCCGTAGTCGATGACTACGCTAGAAGCTTCCAACCTAAAATATAAAATACTTTAGGCATTATAATTCTCTTAGGAAGTCTTTGCTGCAAGCCTTCATTCTCCAACTTCTACTCTAGAGCTTTTGTTCCTTCAAAGGAACACTGCTACTAATCTTCTGTTTCTTTAAGCTTATGTTCCTTTGTCTTGAATAGTTCTGCAATCTTGATTTATCAAACAACACAACTTATAAAGACATTAGTTCAATCATAAGTTGAATTGTGTTCTCATCAAAACATCAAGGGCAACAATCATGAATAAATCTAGATCCACGCCCACTGGCCAAACACCAGCCTAAGCTAGGGCTGAGCAAAACTACCCGAAAAAATCGAAAACCCGAAAAATCGATCCGTAATTGTTACAAAAATTAGGGTACCCGATCCAATAACCATAACACTTCGGGTACCCGTTCCGATAATTTGTTATCGAGTATGGTTATTGGGTATCATTTTAAAATTAACGGTTACACGATCCGATCTGTTAAGCATTTTTTTTTTCATTACTTATATCTATTTTTAAAAAAAAAAATATAAACTCTTACTTTACTTTGTAATTGCTTTATAATATCAATGATTAGTAATATTATTAATAATTTGGTCAAAATCATATGATATTGTTGTTAGTTAGTGGTAAATTATATCATAATAACTACATAATTAAGTTTAATTATCATTTCTGGATATCTTATTAGGTACCCAATAACCAATCCGAAAATTCGGGTACCCAAAGTCCGATCCAAGTACCTGAACTTATCGGTTCGGGCTATGTATATCACTTTTAGGGATTTTGGTTATCGGGTACTGTAGGCGTCGCTCGAAGTGCGCCTACGTTAAGCATGTGTGAATATGCTTGACACTCATAGAAAGTGGGAATTGACATATACGATTAGGGACAAGGAAAGTAGAGAGCTGCCAACAAGTTTTTAAGGAACTTGTAAACCGTTCACGGATAATAAAAGGCAACCACGTTAAAGGGACATTGATAGGCAACAACGATTGACCCGGGAAGGTTACACCCCATTCATAATCCATGAGATTACTAACTCCATATGGTTCGGAACCACGAAAGGAGGATTGGGGATGATGGTACGAAGCGAGTCATGGAGTCACATTCGCTCGTATTGGCCTCTACTCGATTCTTATAGTGAAAAGTGATTCTTGCGATCTCAAAGGCAACAAAGATTCAATTTACTCCAAAATATTATTAAGCTAAATTGGTTGAATATTAATGCAACATATAATTCTAAAATATTGGTGATCACTTGATTAATAACAAGATTAAAAAGGAACCTAAACCGGTTGTCCAAATTATCTTATTAGGCATGATTTTCAATTACAGATTTCCTTTAAACATGCAATATGGTGATCATAACAATAATAGAATAAACATTAATATTGAAATCAATTCAACAATAAATTATTAGTCAAATCAAAATCATAATAAACCTAATCATGATACTAGCAACAAGAATAAAAATAAGATTAATTAAGTGAATAATTACACACTTTCGGCGTTTCCTTGAATTGCTACATCATGAATAAACTGTTAGTAACTTCAATAAAAATATAAATCAAATTGATTAAATTAAATAACAAGTAGAGTTGATTTAGTCCAAACCCTCAGTCAATTATACCTTTCACGCCTTGGTTTAAGTATAGAACTTTGGGTATTATATGGACTCCTTGGAGTGCTTAAGGAAGGAATGAAAGAATAGGGAGGCTAGTGTTTAGGCTAAAGAGGGAGAAAAGAATTATTTTGATGATCAAGCTTGTTTATGATTGAAAAAGGGGTGATAAGACCTCTATTTATAGGGAAAAAAGAGGGTCAAAGAATTAAGATAAGATCCGAATTAAATCGGAATAAAACTCGATAGATTGCAGTTTTTACGATTTTTGTTTTTATCATATCTTTTGATCTAGTAATCGGAATAAGATAAATAAGATATTGTTGGAAAGCTCTTGAAGTCTAATTTCTAACCCAATTAGAATCAAATTAAAATATTTTGTATAATAAAAGATATGGCCGAAATAGTGAGACGGTGTCAGTTTTGGATAGAGTTTGACATGAGACGGTGTCAGTTTTGGATAGAGTTTGACATTTTATTCATATCTTTTCCGTTATAGCTTGGAATTGATATTATAATATATCATTGGAAAGATAATTTCAAGGGAAATCCAACCATATAAAATTTGGATAAAAAATATGAGGCACAAAAATAATATATTTCTATCTTTGAACGTCATTCAATTCGGATAGAAATAGGATTTTCAAAAAGAAAAGTTTTATTCAATTTCAAACTCTTTAATCTTATCTTTTCAAAACGGTTAATTAAGATTTTTTAGAAACTTATAGAAGCTTCTAATTAATCATAATTGTTTTAGGAATGGGATTAAATAATTTGGATCCTCCACATGATCATTGGGTCGTAGGTAAGGTGGCTTAGGTTCGGTTTGGGCTCAGTTTGATATTTTGGCCATAACTTATTCGTTATAACTCGGATTTGGGCTTATAATATATCTTGGAAAGCTCTTTTAAAGCCCCATCAAAATATTAAATCATTGGACCCAGATTATGGACCAAAATAAACTGGATTAAACGTTTTTATAAAAAGGACACGAAATGCATGATTTTAAAGGACACGAAATGAATTATTTTGGGTTTAAAGGCACAAAAAGTGGAAAATAAGTTATGGTTTGGGGAAATGGGCTAGAAGTTGGGTTGGTTTATGAAATGGAAATATGGATTTAAGCACTCCAAGATTAAATACTCAACCCGACCAATAATGGCGGTGAAAGGTTGTTCATCATCGGGTTTGGTTTTGGGGAGACATTTTTAGGTGTCTACAGGTACCCGAATCGTTAGTACTAATGGTATAGGTACCCGTCCCATGCTCACCCCTACCAGCCACTTACACACTCATGACCCATTCTCTTAACCCACCTGAAAAATGAACACCACAATCGCCACAACAACCCGGCCCAACACTACTAGCTAGAATTATTAATAAACAAATACAAAGAATCTCATGTTATTGTTGTAATGATGATATATCATATTGCAACTCATCCTGGTTCAACTTATTTCTTCCTTCTAACATGAGCATATCATTTGGAAAAGGTATGGGATCTTATCAAAGTATGCTGCCATTGGTTTGCAAAAAAATTTCTATATCAGATAAAGTGAAAT